TGGCCAAAATTTTATGAACAGCTGATATTAAAATGTAATAAAATTTGAATGAATGAATAAAACATTTTAGGGATATATTATGGTAATATTAATTACTAATACTGAATGATATATCAAGACTACTAAAACACTTACAGTTATTGTCTTAAACTGATAAAAGTAATTTAAATATAAAACTAATATAATTTAAAAAACACAAAACGTAAAAAAAACTAAAATCATGTTTAAATGCAACAAGTGAATTCCAAAAATCATCACAAATGTATTATGTAGAGTATTTTGTTTTAGATTAAAAAATTAAGATTTGCTTGAAATTCACATTTGCTAAAGATCACATTTTACATTGTTATTATTTTACGTGGTTTAAACAATTAGTTTAAGTGAACACTAGACAACAAAAAGGTAATTCAAATGTAAAACTATTGGAAATGAGCACACACAATAAAAAAATAAATTAATTTAAAAAAACTAATATCGTCCGATAACTGATATAGCACTCATTGAACCTGAACAACACACACTAGAAACCATACGTTCCAAGTGTCAACTGACTGTGCTGACTGAGAGCAGATAATCAGAAAAGGTTCATGCTGGCAGTCTGGCTTCCTGCGCCTGTACGTTTGAACCAGATCTCTAAATCTGATCTCTGGATGTAAGTGTAAGTGAAGCTTCAGTGCCGTTTCTCCCTCTTCCTACACCCTAGATACCGACATATGCAGACATGTCAGATTCCCCAGGCACAGCCTTGGCTCTAACCATCTCCACCAGCCTGTCTCTCTCCACCCCGCTGATCACATCCACCACCCTGGAGAAACACAGAGGTTTCATCCTCACACTGAGTTGGACTGAATCGACTCTCCTCTGGGGCCCGTCACTGATTTTAAGCAAACTTATACCACCAAAGGGGGACACAAACTCACACAGACGCACAATCCCATCATCACACACTCCACAGGAATCTACAATATCTCAGTAGTGAAAGTTTTACCAGAATAAAGCACACACATCCACCTCTAGGCAAGGATGATAAACGGGTAGTATGGAAGTGGGCATGAACTGAATACAAATGACCGTTTATGTCCAGTAAATTACTTCGTTCTGTCTCGGCATCATTCGGTGTTGCTCAGATTGAATCACCGCACACACGCTAACATTTCCTTTTCCAGTCCTTCACTAAAAAGAACGGCTAAACTTTAGTTCTCGGTTTGTTTAGTGAGATTTCTTTCATCATGTCTGGAAAAAATTTAGGAATTCAGAGTCGTTTTTTTTTTTCAGAGATGGTTTTTGGTGTACCATGTTTCAGCATGCTACCAGTTAACAACTAACATTAAGTTGCATCCTTAAATTCATCCCCTTCATCAAAACACTACTTTGGTAACTAAACCTCCTTAGCATGTCGCACTTGAGACACATTTGTGCTTGTCACTGGCAAGTTCTTGGCAGCAGTTTTATCAAGGAACAGCCTTGTTGATCATGTTTTAGTGGCTTTTAATGGCACAAAACAAGACTATATCGAAGGTGTCTGTGATTCAAATCCAAGTAAACCAAAAGTGGATCAATACTCTAATTAAGGGACATTAAAGGTTTGGAAACAGCAGGAAAGCAATTTTAAAGCCGTCCAAGTGTTTTAATTCTTGAATCAAAGATGAAGAAAATGCACTGATGGCCATACAATGCTGTTTAGTCTATTAAAACCACATAATTATTGTCAGATAGCATCCAGATTGATTATAAACTGATAAAATACATATTTAAAAAATAAGTGTCATAAAAAGATATAAATCAACAAAAATAGCATAATTTAATATAAAGCATTATATATCAGATTCATCACTGTCTGTCTGTCTGTATTGGCCAGAACTGTAATATTAGTGCAATACTGTTTATTGATACTAATTTACAATTCTGACTAATACTGAAAACCTGTTCATTATTTTCCCAAGATTAATTTACATTCTAAACAGTACATAAAATGAAAACTAACTGTGGCTGGTTGCTTTATGGCTCGTTTCCACTGAGCGGTACGGTTCGGTACAGTACAGTACGGTATGCAATTATTTCCGTTTCCACTGTCAGAAGTTGTGAATGGTACCAAAATAGCGAACCGTACCGTACCCCTTTTTTGGTACCCTTCCATTGGGGTACCTAGCACAGCAAATGGTACCAAAAGGGTGGAGCTAAACTCACTGCAGAACGTTGATTGGTTGACTAGAATCGTCACTTTTGCATGATACAAGGGGATAAAGCGTCCTTCACTCATTCCACTTTGCGGTCCATGAGTGTTGGGCTTTACATCAGAGTGCACAAACCGTGTATTTTATCATTTTATATTTTCACACAGACAATAGCGTTTCTCAATATGCGTTCTTGTGGACTTGTGAAACGTCATTGTCCAAAAACAAAATTATTGTTCATTAAAACTGATATTTAACAAAAAGAGGCAGAGTTGTGCTTATTGTCACGCTTTATCGTCGATCGCTACTTTTCGGCATACAACATGCCTATCAAGAAGGGTACTATTGGCAGTGGAAATGCAAGCTGAATCAGGGTTACCCGTACCGAATCGTACTGTACTGAACCGTACCGCTCAGTGGAAACAAGCCATTACATGTCAAACAAAAAAATTTTTTCCGATTGATTTTCAAACCTGCCCCACAGCCAATTTCATTGGTCAATTCAAACATGCAGTCACCTGTCAAGAAATTCAGATGTAATGGATTCAGTTCAGAGTTCAAAAAAAGAATTGATTCATCAGCTACAAACACCAATGCAACTGGTATGTATGAAAGTGCAAAAAAGCTACAAAAACTAGAGCAGAAAAGCAAAAGGGAATCTTAGACTGATTAATTTCACAGTAACCATTCCTCAAAAAAAAACAAAAAAAAAACAACCAAACCACAGACCACAGTAAAGAATTGCCACTCTTTCGCTCTGTGCGTTGTTGTAATGGAGTGTGGTGAAGAAACCATGAGGTCAGAATCATCATGCAGAAGATCAAAGTTTTCTCTGAATCCTCATTGCCTGGGGCCCTGCCAGTTAACCAGAGCTCCCTTTCTCTCGACCCCTCTTTCCTTCTCCCAGGTCAGCTTAAAGATTGAATAAAAAAAAAGATCCTTTGGCATAAGAATCTTCCCATTCCCTTTCATCTCTCTAAAGTATTGACTAGGGATGGGTCAGGATGGCCACCTAGTCAGCTAGTTGGTCAACAACTAATGAGTCAGTTAGTGAGATTTCTTTCATCATGTCTGGAAAAAGTTTTTTTAGCATGTCGCACTTGAGTTACATTTTTATAGGGACAAATCATACAATGCACATACAATGAAACCCAAAGAGGTCCAATGTTATTTTGAGCCCCACTGACTTTCATTGTAAGGGCAAAAACAGCTGAAACATTAACAGCACATCGAATAGAAGAATATAAAGTCATACAAGGTAGGAACAATGTGGGTGAGAATTTTAATTTCTTTAAGACAATGTGTGATATTCAAAATAGATTCTAATTGATGGCGGATGGACATGGCCCTAAATCGGTATAATCAGGGCTTCATTAAGGCCTGCTAGTCAACTAGTCATTCAGACAGACAAGTCGATTTTAGAAATATGTAGTTTTGCACATCCCAAATGTTGACACAGTATCACAAAATGCCATTCACTCACTGTTATTCATTCTTCTGCACTCTCTCTACTTCACATTCTTACTCTCTGGCAGATGTGACAGCTTTTCTGTGCAAAAGTGCTAACATAAATGATAAATAGTCAGAGCCTGTCATGGAGAGGTGAGATCATTCCTCAAAGTCTAAACCAACATTCCTCATCCTCTTAAGATAATATCAGCATTAAACCTCTGCACGAACGTGTGAAGATGTGTTTTGATCTGCTTGAAAAAGTGACACTCACATTTTTAAAAACTGTGAGGCAATTTGAAACACATCCCGAATGTTTTCAACATTGAAATGCAGCCCAAACATCTGCACTGTGCCAAAATGTTCCTGTGTGGGATTTTACACAGCCAGCAGGAGCCGAAGGTGTGCAATAAAGCAAATGGAAAGGACAAAGTGGTGTCTGGTCTGAACATCACACACACATTCACATCAAAATGAACCTGGACAGCTAGTTATCTTTTCCAGAGGAGCAGCTTTAAAGGGGTCATATGATGCTATTTAAAAGATCTTTATTTTGTGTATTTGGTGTAACAGAATATGTTGACATGCTTTAATGTTCAAAAAACACATTGTTTTTCAAATACTGTACATTATTGTAGGTCCTCTATGCCCCGCCTCTCTCAAACGCGTCGTTTTCAACAAAGCCCCCTCCTTTGGCAAGCGCAGTCTGCTCTGATTGGCCAGCTGACCCAGTGCATTGTGATTGGCCGAACACCACAAGCACGCGTCGGAAATGTAATGCCCCTTACCATAATCGCGAGCTTCAGCTTTCAAAGTAAATATCAAGACAGTTAATAATGTCGTTAGTTTTACCATCAGTTCAAGCCCGAAAGGGCAACAGAGTCACGTGCCAGAAACAGTGATGATGCAGTACCACATAGTGATGTAGATATGTGGGGGCGTGTTAGAAAGAGCCGTTTTAGGTAGGCGTGGCTGACTCTTAACTTTTATGAAGAATATCTCTTTGGATTTGAGACTTCAGTCTTTGTAACTTTACAGATCTTCTTTATGCACCAAGAGCTTGTAACACTCCACAGAGAAAGGAAAACTTGAAATCGCATCATATGACCCCTTTAAAAGTATTCTCTTTCTCTCTCTTGTCGCCTCTCTGATCCTTACAGTGGCCAAAAGCAGGAACAAGGTTTTTTTTTATGTATCCTAATGCATTTTTCAATTGTTCAGCCATTTAAATGCTAATGCTTCCATTCAGGGCCGTCTACATTGAATTTCCTTAAAGACGTTGCTGTTTATCAAGTAGCAAGAGGAGGAAATTTGAGTTTGGTGGTCCGTGACCCATGTCTTTTATCTGTAGAGAGAAGGGAAAAAAGAAAGCGGCACCTTATGCTCTTCACCCTCTGAAATCGTCCATCTCTCTGATGATGAGGCATGAGTGCAAAGGTGGATCAGCAGTATAAACATGACCTCCGATCCTGTTTATGTTATCTAGGCCTAACCAGGAGACCACCATGCCACTCTAGAGACCACTCAGGACCACCAGGGATAACAGCCATGTGATTGAGCCACTCCAAACTGCAGACTAGAAAAACACATTTCTGTTTAAATGATTACTAAAATTCGAAAATACTTGTTTCTTTCATTCTTTATACTAGTCATTTATATCAGGGATTTTCAAATTTTTTATATATAATGATCCAATTGTGAGGGACCTCTTTTCTATAATATAAAGGCAGCTATACATTTTCATGCATAAAGAACCATTTATACTCTGTGGGAAAATGTGTGATATTATAAAGACACTATTCATGAAACATGAGCAGAACAATTTTACAGAAAATAGTTCATAAATCCATTCATAAGTAAATTGCCACACTCATTTCAATGGGACAATTAACATACAAATGGTTTTACGATTTACTAATGGTATTCCAAAATTTGTTCTGCTCGCGTTTCAGGAATAAGGACCACGGATTGGCTAAATATCAAATCTTTCATCAGAAGCTGAAGTCACGCATTTCCCTAAAATAGCCTGACACTATGCTGAGTCACTCCTTGACTCTCACATCCCTTCATTAATGGAAAAAAAGTGTCAAAATCTCCAGGTAGAGCCACAGGAAAGGTGGCGCTTCCTAAAAACCCTACCCCTCATTGTGCTAAGTCACTTTAAGGCACAGTTATCTTTCCTTAATCAGCGTTCCTTCAGTGCTGATAGGGAGATTGAAGGGAAACGGTATTATTCCACCTCACTGTTCCAATTCCAACAGAGTATTAATAGAAGAAACCCAGCCAAGTCATGGAGGACTGCAAACCAAACACACGCACATAAAGCAGAGCGGTCCAACTCCGCAGACCCCTGGGCTTCAGGCCCCATAAAAGAAACTCCTTCCAGCTAGTGTATGCATGTGGAACCAAAGCTTTTCCTCCTGCTTATACTGACCTGACTAGAGCAGGGGAAGGATGTCACGTGCAAGAGCCTTAGAAGGATCAAGAGAGAGATAGAGAAGAGACAGACAAGATATGGAGATATACAAAGTGATGTCTGCTCTAACAGTGTGGTAAATCAATGGTAACAAATGGTCTCAGTTATTTGCACCTGGTCACATCTGCGTCATATTGGTCAGCTGAGAAACATATTGAGTTTCCGGGAGTGACTACAGGAGGATAAGGAAAGAGAAAAACGGGGAGATGAGGAGATAAGGATGAGGCCGCTGGGAAAAACCAATGTTCTTCGTTCTCTCATGCATTAGAATTCATTATGCTGCTCCTTATCGCATTTTACCTCCTCTCTCCTCTAAATTGCTGTCTTTCTCTCTTGTCTTCTTCATATCGCTCTCATCTTTTTCTCTCAACTGCGCTCTCCCTGTGAGTAGTGCTAGACGATACAGGACCTTAAGTGGGCCCCTCCCATCACAGAGCCCAGGACAACACTCCTCCCGGTTGATAACATTAATCATTTGAGAATAAAGTATAACAATAATAATCATTTGAATGGTTTGATGTGATACGAGCTAACCGATCTTTAGATTTAATCACCATTGGTAGCGAGATTTATGGTAATGCTTTTTTCCTCAGTTGGTCAGAACAAACGGGGCAGACTTGTTAGTTGTTCAGATGGCAATATACAGTGAAAATTCTTATTTGGGTCATATTCCAAGACGTAGGCTAGAATCTGTGATTGCGAAGTACAGTAAATGAGGTGACTGACTGCCGCACACACACTTTTCAGAACATTAGATTCATCCGCGCTGGAGCCGTGCCGACTCACAACCCACGCAAGATAGATTATTCCGCACACAGCTGCAATTCCAGGTTTTCAAACAGAGATGGCGACAAAGAGGCAAACCTTACGAACTGCAGCTTTAAGTAAAGATCATGTTCCATGAAGATATTTTGTCAATTTCCTACTGTAAATATATTAAAACTTAATTTTGATTAGTAATATGCATTGCTAATAACTTCATTTGGACAACTTTAAAAGTGATTTTCTCAATATTTAGTTTTTTTTGCACCCTCAGATTCCAGATTCTTATTTATTCAGCTTTCAGATGATGTATAAATCTCAATTTCGAAAAATGGACCCTTATGACTGGTTTTGTGGTCCAGGGTCACATATTAATATTGCATGATATATCAGGACCATAACCGTAGACAAAACACACACAAAAAAACAAACAAAAAAAAACCTAGGGATGCTCTGATCCGCCTTTTTCACCTCCGATACCGATTCCGATACCTAGGCTTCAGTATTGGCCGATACCGATACCAATCCGATACCAGTTAAGTTTTTTTTTGCCATTTAAATAAATGTAGAATTTATATATTTCTGTGTGTGTGGAACTGATAATCATTCTTTCACAATCTACTAAATACAGACTACTTCATTATAAAGAAAAAGAAACAATAAATATATGTATATTCATAATCTAAGACAAAAATATATCATAAACTAGGTTAGTGGATAATTCGGCAGCAAAAGTTATTCTAGAAAAATCAGTGCACAATAATTTTAGAAATCCAAACATTTAGTGGAAAAAAACTATATTTTGTGGGGAGTGTTGCACTAAATATGGTAAAATGTTACACATTGCTATTTGTATTATAAAATCCATTAATGAAAAACATTCATGAATGTATTTATATACAAGTATATATTATAAAATTTAAATACATTTCTTTTAAACGTATAGCATATTTTTTAATAAGGCAACAACATATGATAGATTCAATAGGACAAAACAAATACAGTGCGGCACGAAGCGCTTTCAATATGCGCCTCCGGTGTGCAGAATGATGCACTTGAAGCAACACGGAGTCACAGCATGCAATGCTTTGCATTACAAAGTGCAAAGCACAAATGGAAGAGAAATTGATGCGTAGTGTATTATATCTTTGCGACAGTTATTGAGCCTTTCTTTCAACAGTTTTAAATTTCAGTTACTGTGCGCGTTAAAAACAATTTATAGTCTTTTCTACGCCCGTGTTTTGTTCTCACAGACACACGGTAGCAAGTAACAAAACAACATTAAACTCCGGCAAGAAGATAAAGTCCTTTTTGCAAAATCATAGACATTTATTTACAAATCAATTATAATAATGGGAACACAGAATGATCTTGGAGAGAGCTTTACCGAGCTGACTGTCGTAACCGAATGCGACCAGGGTTTAAAGGTTAAAAGAATGACTGACAGCCACAACGGAGAAAAGAGTTTGTGTGAACTTTAACGTAAGGACTTAAATATTCATATGTAGCTCACATTAAAGGGATACGGTTTCTACGTGTATTTATGCTTTGATTTAAACGAAAACAGCGCATCCGTGCAGCGCGGCTGACACAATAGCGTACGCTGCTTGCATTCAGCGGATATTCTCCAAAATGGCACTACTGTGATGCGGAGAGACACAGAGGAGACAAATTGTTGAATAAAGTCGTTATTCTTGTTTTCTTTGCATACAAAAAGTATTCTTGTCGCTTCATAATGTTACGATTGAACCACTGATGGCAGATGGACTATTCTGACTTTGTCTTTCATACTTATCATTTTCATACTAGTGTAATTTACGTGGCAGTCAATCGGACAGTCACAAGACTCCCGGTTTTCATCAAAAATATCTTAAATTGTGTTCTGAAGACGAACGAAGCTTTTACGGGTTTGGAACGACATGGGAGTAAGTGATTAATGACAATTTTCATTTTGGGGTGGAGTAACCCTTTAAGCTATCGTACGGCTTCAGAAGTAACAGAATAATACGCACAATCTCGGATATGGATCGGCCCTCTCTGACCGATACTCAATCAGACAAAAAATGGCAGTATCGGAGAAAAAACAATACAAAACTAAACCAAACCACACCACCAAACAAAGCACAAAAAACAAAACAAAACAAAACATTTTCCTCCATGTCTCTCCCAGCATCTTTCTTATCAATTTCTTAGAGGTTGCACCTGCGTCAGGGTTTAGAACGACAGCTGCAATCCGTGTACAATTTACAGCTCTTGGTAAATAATGACAACACTTAGGAGTAATAATGCTGTTTGCATAGCTGGCGAGCTGTTTTGCAGACTGAGCCCTGCTGTAGTACGGATGCCGTGGGACCTGCTGAGTAATCTTCAGTTAAGGAGAGCTTCTATCTGACTTCTCAGGTAAAATATGGCCTCTCTCCAGGGCCGTGGAGGTCAGTGCTGCTCACTTAAGAGAAGGCAGCTCAGCCATGTCCGTACTCTCAACAACCGTCTGAAGAACTCTACAAACGCCCATCTCATTTCAGCCTGGGCATAGACAGATGCTGCTCTCCACTTCCGAGAGTACAAGATTCCACTGAAAGAAAACCACACAGAGCATGAGGCCAGGTCTTAAGTGTGTGTGTGTGATCTGTTATATAGAGTATATAGAGATTTCTCAGTTGCGCTCTGATTTGAGTGCCGTACACTCAGTTTGGGGCTACTGAAAAACACAAGACACATCACAGACACTTAAATATATCTCCAGTGCAATAATAAAGCAATTTATTTGTCTGTCTTAAAAACCGCTCAAAACACAGGAAATAATAGTGTGAAATGAGGAAACCGGATCACCCGAAATCAACTCACAGTTCCTGCACAAGCACCACTGCTCTTTGTCTAGAGCACACGGCTCTGACAAAAATGAAGCCATTTAAAAACTATGACTCCGTGATATTGGTATGAAACTATTCTCACACACACTGAGGCCACACCGTGACCTTTGAGTTTGGTACAAGTTTATTCGGATTCCAGTGGTCTTGTGGTGTCCAAGTCTGGTGCTGTTCCACAGCTACGGATTAAACTTCACCAATATGCATGCACACTGACACCATTCTGAGTATTATTCGTACACACAAATCTCTTTTTTTCCCTTTTTTATTCTCTTGAATAAAATATTTTGG